TAAGTAAATTCTAATAATATTTGGAAATTTTTATGATCACTCCATCGGAAAGAATCGAAATATCTTTCCGGCACTCCCGTGGATGTGCCGAGTTAACCTTTGAGGATCCCGGTCAGGGTTACAATTTAAGTAAACGCTACAGAGCTAATGTATTCGGCTTATGTGGCTCATTTATTGGCTTGATTCTTGATACTTTGCAACTTGCATGTGTTCATAAAACTGCGTGAGGATGAACAATAGATCGAAGCACGTTGTGGTGGGAACCACATTGAAGTAAATAGTTAATTTTATTAATCTTACTAACTCTATCATCTTTCGTTGCCTAGACAGATCTGCATACCGTAATTACATATTGGAACTGTAAACAGCTAGATGTATATAATTTCAGATATATGGATGATTATGAATAATGAATTGGATTATTTGTGGAAGGAAGCCGTCCGTCGTGGCCTAACTTGAGGTTCCAAGCCATATTTCGTCTTAAGGAAGTAACGAGAACCATATGAGATCGCACTCATAAGAACCGATCTCCGAGCAAAAATTGTTACCGGATATCACTGGACCCAGTGATTGAGACTAGCTCTTTCTAACGGACCCAACTGAGTAGGTTTATCCTTCCCTACCCACCTGAAGACGGAGACAGATCCAGTCTCCAAAACGTCGTGGTCCTTTGTCTTTTACATACCAGACGATGGATGAAGTCCAAAATAAGCCAAAAGAAGTACACGACAGTTTTCTTTCAGAATTGTATCTACCATTCCTCATCATCCTTTCATTTCATCCGAAGCTGAGCAATCTCTGCAGTTGAGATGTCGAAGAGTCAGACGCATATGTTTATGCAGCATTTCGCATTCATATCATGTGTCGTGATGACTGGCCTGCCGCTGGAGAGCGCAACTTACCAACAGCGCGACGTTGGGGACAATGATCCTGTCTGCATGCGCGTTCCTGAGGGACATTTTAGGCTCGGCATGCACCATGCGTTTCGGCACGTAGGTCACTGTGTTGTTAGCGTTGAAGGTCACGTTTGTGTTCTCTAGTATTTCCCTGCAACAGTCAAAACATATCAATCCGTCCCTCGCTCTCTCAGAGCATATTTCCCAAATTCAATCAGTATTATCTAACCTTATATCGACATCATGTCCATATTTCAACTATAATCGATATATCGATCCTTGACCTCCCATTTCTTTTCCAAAGTGTGAGATATATCCGGAAAGTAAAGATACAAGTCCGGTAAAAATGCAAGAGTTTATTCTTTTTCAGAAATGGTAGTGCTGCCGTATGAGATAGGAACCGTATGACAGGGCTGAGTTTACCGCCCACAATTACGGCAACGTTATGCTCGCAGTGTGTTTAAAATGGCCATGTCGATTCAAAATTCCTCCAAATGTGTGGTTCGTGCAGTAATTCGATTTCTTTACTTGAAAAGAGAAACTGCTGCTGAAATTAATATCCAAATTGTTTCTTTTTACGGCGAAGATATTATGAACAGGCAAAAAGGGACAAAATTGTGTCATGAATTTGAAACGGGAAGAAGTAATGATCATGATGAAGGTCATCTGTTGTCACTGATGAAATCATAAAAAAAAATAATGAACACTTTCCTGCTGAAAGACCTTTAGCCATCGATGAACTTCATCAACAATGTCCAGAAGTGTCAAGAACTCTTCTCCATGGCTAAGAGAGCAGGCGGGAAATTTCTACGACGCTGGAAAGAAAGAACTCATTCCCAGGCTCACTAAGTGACTATGTTGAAAAGTAAATAAAGGTGTGTTTTAAAAATGCTACAAGTGAATCCCCCCAAAAGTGCTTTAAAATATTTTCTGGAATTGTATCTTTACTTTCCGGATACATTTCGTCATTCAGTGAGCTTAGAGATTTTCGTACAAGGCCTGTTCTCCTGCTAACGACGAGCGCTGGATTCAACCAGAGTTATAATGGAGAACTTGGGCACTGATTTAGATGTTTTGAGAATTAAACCACGAGGTAATCCGAGCTGGGACGGAGTTAATGTTGAAAAGATCAGAATGACGAACGACGATTTTTTACCTCTTTTAATGACGCTGTCTGTATTGAGATTGTATAACGTCAAAACCGACGGTGATGAAGGCACATATAATGTCTGAAACATGAGAGGAACTAATTGGTAATATGGTAGACTGGTGGTGAATTGGAAAGGATTTAGAATGAAGCGATTATAGCCTAATTAAGGTACTATCCAGAAGTCTGCCTATAGAGAATGTGAAAAAAAACATGAAAAAATGGTAAAGATGTGCGTTCATGTCGAGATTCGAACCTAGAATAATTCCCGAATATGAGGGCTGTAAGTTCCTTAAATATACAGTATAGAATAATATTTTTATAACCCTATATATATATGTAACTGTATGATTTATCTGCTTCTTGATAACAATACGCATGTGAATATACATAAGCCGATAAAATGTAATTGCAGATTCATTTTATGCCAGAAATTGTAAATATGATAACTTTATAAAATTTCTGTTGTTGCATCCTACAATTCGGACCTAGAGAAATTCATTGTATGCAAATTTCATGTGTTCTTTTGATAGGGTACATTTCTCCTATAGAATATGTGTATTAAAATAAGATGTAAGTTACCATATAAACTTTCTTTTTCATTGAGTGGGGTGAGACTTAGTCCACTTTGTACGCTCCAGAGTCCAAGTTCCGGATGATGGATGAGCATGAGGCAGGCTGTGAGATGTGAAGTTGCAAGATAAGCCAAGTACTCAGAGGAAACCTGTCCCAGCGGCCCTTTTTCCTACATAAGTCCCACATGACCTAACCTTGGGTCGAAGAAAAAAAAGGTCGAGATGGGAAACCAGAGAATGGCCGCCTTAGGGAGGAAACAATTTGGAATCTAAGTAGATTATGACATAAAGAAATAAATTAACTGCACTTAGATGACAACATGAGTCTTACTGCCTCGCGCACAACCTTACTTCATTGAGTTTCCGTGCTAGTCTATCTAATCACACAAACGTATTTACAGTAATTCAGTTAAATCCTTCCTGGAATTCCTTTGTAAAAAGATTTTCGGATCTCCTATTTGCTCTTCAAGATTCCTCTTTCCAACAGGTTTCCGAACCAGATAGCGAAGTCTCCTGTACATGAACTGTGAATTTCTCAACTAAGTTATTTTGAACCCCAGAAGTGTCCTCAGTACAAGGGACTTAGTCCCACCTCACTAGCAATAAAAAGTGATTTTGAACAGTTGATAAATAGTGATAATTTTAAAAATTATATCTGTCATAAAGCCAGTCATATATCGCAATAAAAAAATTGACGTTTTCTATGTGAAGTCGTGTAGAGTGGTCGATGTTTACAGAAATTTATGAGGAATATTTCCGTCTTTAGGGCGTAAGAAGTTCAGTCTTCAATTATGAAGATGAAGACATCAAGTTTCTCCGAAACGTCGGTAGATATCTACCTGATTACAAGACATCGTACCCCAGAAGGTTGTAACCTTCATAGCTACCGCTCTGAGAACTTCAGATTTCCATATATATTTCACGCTACTTTAATATTATACTGTGAGGAATATATGCTTACCTGTAAAAGTAAGGTCCAATTTCTTGTACTCGCAGCTTCTCCCTTCCGCTCAGGAACTCCTGGGGGTTTGTGACGTTGAATACGTACACCTTGATGTACACATTGACTGGAGGCCTCAGCCACAAGTTATATAGGGTAGATCCTTCCGTGAAACTCATTCGCTGTCACATCATTAGGAAGAATCCATACATTCTTGATAATATGACAACTGATGTGTTAATGGTATCCACTATATTAGTATTATAATATTATTATAAGTATTATAGAGTATTATAATAAAATTAAGGGGTTCAACATATTTTATAATAAAATTATATGAGACGACGTAGCTTTCTTCAGGCTCCAATTCTGTGCCTTTCGATACATGATACATTGTTAGGTTTAGTGGTACTAGTTGTCTGTGTCTCATTTTTTCACCACTGTGAACTCATACAGAGGTTAGATTCTGTACTGGATAGACACGAATTATGTATTTGAATTATTATATATAAAATATTTATGAATTGTTATCTGTTCCGTCATTACTTAAGAGCAGTTAAATATTATGGGCATTTATAATTGTTTGATATTTTAGAATTTTATAAGTACGAATCCTCATTTCAACCCTAAAGTTCTTGCTGTAATTTCAGTGGAATCGTAATTAGTAATTGAAACACATATCACCAGGAAAATTTAAGAAATTATGTCCTTACATTCTTAAAACTTTTCGCCAAATCTGCTCAAATTTAAATGTAACAGGGGACTACATCAAATCTTTTATTAAAAATTATCCGGCTTGGGTTAATTTCCTTTATCACATCCATCATAAAACACTAATTTGACGCTGTCCAACCTGGTAACGTTGTGGAAAGCATGACCTGAAGCTACTTGCGCAGTAGCCATATTATTTACTTACTTACTTACTTACTCATGGAGCTGAGCCCTTCTGGAGGAGCCGCCAATTCTGCAGCTACTCAAGAATTTCCCAGCATTTTATGGAACCCGAAGGTTCATTACCGTGTTTACAAGAGCCCTCCACTGGTCCCTATCCTGAGCCAGATCTCTCCAATCCATACCATCAAATTCTATCTCTCTAAGATCAATTTTAATATTGTCCACCCACCTACGCCTTGGTCTTCCCTGTGGTCTCTTTCTTTCTGGCTTTCCCACCAATATCCTATACATATTCCTCGTCTCCTCCATTCGTGCTACATGACCTGCCCACCTCATCCACCTTGACTTGATCATTCTAATTACACTTGGAGAAGAGTACATGTTATGAGGCTCCTCATTATGCAGTTTTCTCCAACCTCCTGTCACTTCATCTCTGTTTGGTCCAAATATTCTCCTCAACACCCTGTTCTCAAACACCCTCAGCTTATGTTCCTCCCTTAATGTCAGAGACCAAGTTTCACACCCATACAGAACCACAGGCAAAATTATAGTTCTGTATATTCTAATTTCTATGTTTTTGGACTCAATGGTAGCAAGCATAACCCGAGTTCAATCGCCTCTTAATTTCCTCCTGAATCAGGTGTAAATCTGTTATCGTTGTTCCCAATATTTTTCAACACAGAATTATTTATCTACATGTTTCTAATCTCCTACTTTACATATTTCCAGGTAGAATCAAAGAAGGGAGTGGGGGGCAAGGAAGGAAAATTGCCTGCCCTCCATTCAGTCAATCGTTTTATCTCTGTATATTTAATTGCATGTAATGTACTAAATTTTGTCACAAACTGTCCCTTCGCAGCTCTTAAAATAGTTCACTCATTCCTGATTTCTCGTATGTATTTTATGAACAAAAACCATCAGAACGAAAGCATTACTCACAGTCGACACATTCGTAGTGCCTGTCACCCAAAAAATAAATTCATGTTATTTGTTGTCATTTAGCTCCCGGAATCATCAAGCCTATTAAACACCTATAACTTTGAATAGTTATATTTTCTGGGATGTAACAACTTGTAGACTGTTGAAATCCTACAGACATTTCAGAGGAATGTATCGCCTTCATCTTCATGGTTGAAGAATAAGCCACGTTCTTCCTAATTCCTCTCCATGAAGATGGAGGCGGCATGTTTCTCCGAAATATCGGTTGACTTTTCAAATGACTCTATGACGCTATACCCCAGATGATAGAATTTTTGTTTTGTCGTGGGTTTTATCCTACCCCAACTGCAAACCCTTACTGTTACTCTTAGGGGTGCTGATACTAGTGTGTTGCGTCAACCACTTTGAGAATTTTTGCCCCCTTTAAGAGTGGCAGTCTAGACTGGGGGTCCTTCAAAGAAGAGGCGCAGGTTATTTGATTACTCCTAATTCCACATATTCATATCGGTAAAGTTTTCGGTTCTCCGGTGGCTGGGGATTCTAGGGAATATACTTGTAACCACGGAGAACCGCTTTTTCCTACGTATACGAGTATTGTGTTGTCTACATGCTTAAGTTGGAGGGCGGTTGATTTAAGTTACATAATTTATACTTATCTAGCCTCACCTTTGCTCCCTATAAGCATCTCTCTGATCGTCAGCAACACGGTGTGAATTCACTTACTTTGGTTGCAGAAGGATGCAACGACGAACAAATGGTACAGTCTGTAGCTCATGGCCCTCTTAGCGTGAGTTTCCATCTGCAGTCCAATAGCTAAGATGTCGGAAGGCTATCGAACATAGCCTCCTGTAGCAACTGGTAAATTTTTAGTAATCGACTGCTTATACTCACCGACCTAAGTGGCATATAATATAAACTCCTGCGAGTCAGAATTCCCTTGTGCCCTCGATTAACTGTAATAATTACTATTCCTGTTGCAACTATTGGTTCAGGGTTTCCCAGCGAGACTTGTCCCTGTTTTGCAAGCTTGTGCTAAATTGCAAAATTTCTTGGTTGCGACAGTTCGACGGGATGCCTTCGAGCCCAGGAATTTCAAATCTCCCTTCGTTACGCCATAGGGGAGAGACACATTTCATATCTACCGCTGTGAAAACCTCAGATCCTACATAGCTCTAATCATGCTTCCAATCCAGTTTCAGCAAGGTGTTTATTGTGGAGCCGGTTACGGCAGCCGAGCGGTCTAAAGCATGTACTGTCTTCACTCGCTCGGAAGTCGTGATCGTGGGTTCGAATCCCACACAAGACATGGATATTTGGTATGAGTATATGTTTGTTCTGTGTTTGTGTCATCCTGTGTGTTTAGGTAGAGGCCTTGCGACGAGCTGATCACTCGTCCAAGGAGTCCTACCGAATGTAAAAATAATCAAAATGAAAAGAACGACCTGGACACCGGAAGCGCATAAGAGGAAGGGATTAAGTGAAGTAAGTTAATAATTTTGGAATTGCTTAGTTAGAAATTCAGGAATATGAAATGGTGCTGACTTCATTCAGAGTTTCTTGACAATCAGTTATTCAGGATCGCAATTGCAAGCACAAATCCATATGGTGTGTCTCACCATAAAAACACTTCTTTATGTCTAAACAAGCTAAAAGTGAAAGGGGATGTTTTACGAATAGACTATGTAGGCTTTAATTAATAACATACAAAAGAATCCTTTCACAAAGTCATCAGCTACACATGTTAATTCAGCTGTCATTACAACCTGTCTAATTTCTTTGTTAAGCTTATGAACGCTAATTGTCAGAGCACATCGTCACACTGGCCCTGCATTCTGAATGTAACACCGATATACAAATGAACGTAAAAGAACTGGAGATTTTTTTTCTAAATGAGTATATATCAACTAGACCTATACCTCAGGCCGTATAAAAATATTCCGTGGCTTGAGTCTGCAAGAAAATTATACCTACCTCAGACATTATAAAGTACCTAACGTAATATTCGTTTAAGTTAAGAAAGGAGAGTTCATTTTGAAGCTCATAATAATATAAATTGCATTAGAACTCACAAATCTTCATATAACACAGTGTCAACAAAAACAGATATGCCATTCATGATGACTAATCGGGCAGGAATGGCACAAAAGTAACTTATTATAGGGCATCGCGTTAAATACCAGGACTAGAAAACCGAGATTAACGGCCGTGGGGAACAGTTGCTCTGACCACGCGACACCCTCTATCCGCATTGTTTGTACTAACTTCGCCGACAAGCGGCGGTCGCTCGGTAGGCATAATTCGCTAGCGGACTATAGGCCTCGCAGCTTGTTTTGATCATGTTAAATATTGTGGTTTTCTCAATCATCAGGAAGTACATTTTCATGACGGCCGCAGTGGCGAGTCTAGATGCTCCGCTCAACATTGGATACACTTAAGACCCTCCACGATAACATAACCACAAGATTTTTTTCCTTGGCACTACAGCCCTAGTGGGCCTAGGCCTACCTCCATGAACTTCTCCGTTCACTTCAGTTTTTCTAGATCTTCAACTTTCGGTAGGACTCCTTGGGAGGGTGATCAGCTCGTCACAAGGCCTCTACCTGTACACAAACACAGAAAAACGCACACACATAAACTAAACATCCATGCCCTGCGTGGGATTCGAACCCACCATCCCGGTTTCCAAGCGAGCGAAGACAGTTCATGCCAACCACAAGATTACAATATTCATATTCGCCAACAATAAAAACAATAATCTCACCTTGAAGTTGTGACAGTTTTTTGAAAAATGTGAAAGATTATAATTAAGATAATCTTGTAAATAATAGGGATATAAACATGGTGACAGTGCGATATGCTTTATAATTATGATAACCGATAGTAATTCGACATTTAGAATGTACTCAGTATCATGTCATAACCTCATCTCTATGTCTTGGTCTTCCTACAGTCTCATTCCTTCTGATTTTCCCAGCAATATCACAGATGCATGTCTGTTCTCCCATATCCATGCTACATGCCCTGACAATCTCATCCTCGTTGACTTCACCATTTTAATTATACTTGTCGAAAAGAACAGGTTATGACGTTCCTCATTATGCATTTTTCTCCAACGTCCTGTCACTTCATCCCTCTTCTGTCCAAATATTCTCCTCAACAATCTGTCCTCAAACACCCTCAGTCTACCTGATGTTCCTACCTTATTGCCAGAGACTAAGTTTCACACCCACACCACCGATACAGACCCATGAGCAAAATTATAATTTTATATACAATTTTTTACGTTTTTAGGCAGCATACGAGAAGACAAAAAATTCTAGACTGAATGATAGCAAGGATTACCCGAATTCCTCCTGAATCAAATTTTGATCTGTTGCTATCGGTCCCAAATATGTGAACTGTGCCACATTTTTCAAAACATCTGTTACCCATCTTTATGTCCTGATTTTGCCCTGTATTCTGGTGACGAGAGAGCAACATGTACTTAGTTTCCTCTGTGTTTACTCCTACACCAAACTCTTTACTTGCGTCAATTAAAGTTTGTGTGCTTTTCTTTATCACCCAGTAAATTCACATCATCGGCATAGACCAACATCTGATGTGTCCAATTTAATTTCAGTCCCACCTGATGTTCTTGTATCTTCCTAATGGTATATTCTAAAGCAAAGTTGAAAAGCAGTGGCGATAAAGCATCTTGTTCAGACCATTTTGGATAGGAAAATTATCAGAAAAATTTGTACCCATACGGACTCTACTAAACTTTTCATTTAAACATATTTTAATCAACCTAACTGGTTTCATGGATACACCAAACGCTATGAGAATATTGTACAATACTTTCCTCCTGACTGAAACATAAAGAGTTTCTTAAAGCCTACACATAACTGATGTACTGTCTCACTGCAATCTCAACTCTCACTTTCTACAAATACGGAAGTTATTTAATGGCACGAGGTCTAAATCTTCAAAATTCTCAACTTAAAACAACTGGTTTTAACACATGTTTTTCACTTATGTCATTAATTCTTCTTCTTATTGTTGTTGTTAGGTAGAAAGGTAAATTTGTCCCTGTGCTCAATGAATTAAGCACTATGCCATGAAGGCATGTGGGGGAATGGATGTACAGATCCACATTTTCTTGACCTCGACAGTAGCTGGAGGTGAGTGGTCAGCTTCACACCCCGGCCACTTTGCCCCTGGGGAAAAAGTCCCCTTTACCTTTTGAATAGGAGGTTGGGTGTACCCCAGAGTCGAGCTGGACGATTTGGGGAACAGAAAATCCTTGACCCTACCGGCACTCGAACTTCGACCCTTCAGTCGTCCAGCCCGTAGCCAGTCGCTATACCGACTGCGCTACATTGAGTAATATTATCGGTTCTGTCACTACAGATATTGTACAGCGTCAGTGACAGGATTGGTAAGAAACGTGGAGCAGTTGTCGGAATGAATATTCTTATGGACAGCAGAAGTACCTAGAGAAAACATGTCCCAGTGCCACTTTCTCCACCCTAAATCCCACATGAACTGACTGGGTTCGGGTCCGTGCTACAGAATTAGGAAACCATCGATTGCCCACCTGAGCTATGTCACGGCCTTCATTAATATTAGGCTTTATAAATTATGGTAACACTTGTTCTCAAATTTATTTTAACTTCAGATAATCTCAGCATCTTTTCTGTAATTTATGGTAGCAGTAAGTCAGTTTATTATCCTTTTCTTAAAAAGCCAAAAGTTACTCCATTAGTAAATACAGACTGATCATCACTCTTAATAAATTATTTTGATAAATGTTTCAGGAATATTTTCTCCATTTATTGAAGCGTGAACTACATAATTTTCTGCGTCGATTTTTAAATATAATTTTTGAGGATCCAGTTTATTTACGTTCCTTAATTTTGCTAGCTGCCAATCGCAAGGCCGCTACATACACACAGAACAACACAAACACAGAATAAACACACACAGACATCCACGCCTCGACTGCGAACCCATGATCCTAGCGTTTGAGCGGGCGAAGGCAGTTCAAGCCTTAGGCCTCGCGGCCGGTGTGATCGGCTCTAAAGAAGATCAATTCCTTAAACTTAGCTAGGGCCATGTCATAGCTCGGGCGCTCACACGCCGGCTTCCCACAGTGGCTCAATCCAGCAGGTGCTCGACGCTCATTACTCACCCTCTCATCTGATGCTATACGGACAGCGTCGTTTAAGTAGACAGCTTAAAAACTTCGAATTGTTTATTGCTTATTTTCTCAAATTATATGACCTAATTTTCCCCCACGTATATCCGTATTTTGATGTAGTGGTGGATTTGCTTGGTCATATGAATCCTGAAGTTATGTTGGCGGTAGTACAACAGCTTGGTAGCGTCCCCTATGCCAGGCAGGTCAAAGTTGATGATTCAGGAAAAAAGGGAAACTTGGTACTTTTGGGTTGGCGATTGGGATTAGAGTTGCCACCACCTCCCCATAAAAATCATGAATTACTGAGAAGCTTTTAAAGAGTGCAAACGACTTAAATACTTGAATGGAGACGTTAATCATAGGATCGAGTCCAGTGGTGAGTAATTGTGAAAGGGGACAAGGTTCATCATAGACTGCAGGGCCCGCAGGGCAAGAGGATTAAGAAGATACTATGTAATTTTAGGTAATTCTGACTTCAGTTATTATAGGTCTCCAGGGCAAGAACCGAACCCAAGATCCCTCAAATGCGGCTGTAATGCAGCATTTTGTGAAAGAAGGTGTTTGCAGCACAATCACATACGAGTACAAGCTAAGACTTTGGAATAGCCTATATAGTTATTAATTTTACAACATTTTAACTCCGTAGTACAATACACACCTAAAATAATACACCCAGAGTCTAAAATATTTCCATATTCACAACCATAATTGTTTAATGCAAGAAGCTTGTAGCTCTTGGAATAAAGTAACGAAGAAAGATGTCATAGAGAAATTAAAAACACGAAGTACTTTGGCATTTCATATTCTACTGAACTATTGTGTCATTTCGTCTGTCTGATTTGGGGACCTGTGTTCCTTTAGAGCTTGAACTTTTGTTACTATACTTATCAGCACAAAACTATACTACGCAAACATAGAATCTGGAATTTAGGATAAGATTATTATTATTTTAATTATTATTACTTATTATTCATTCAGTACATAGCACATTTACTCAATACATAATACTATCAGTCAGTAACTTACAGATGAGATGATAAAGTCAACAGGCCTCAGAGTAAATATGGCGCATGAAGAAACCAGGAGCGCGGCCCCGAAGCAAGTTAGCAGGAGCGCTCCTGAAACACGAACAGACTACATGTTACTAATTCCTGTGTAAAATTATACAAAGTAATTATTTCTGATATTACAATACGACAAATTGTGCATTTTGAATATTTTTCTATGCCTACAGATTTCTTTGAAGTCAATAAAGGCATTCTTCTTTCTCTTTTCCTTCCTTTCTTCAGTTTCATTCGCCCTCTCTTCATTCATTTCTTATGTTCTTACTTGTTTACTTCTATCGTCATTTATTTTCTCTTTCCCTTCTCATTTACTAATCTTGTTATTAGTTGTTAGTTAATTCTTTCCGCGATAGCACAGTTTGTTGAGGTACAATGCTTCAAGCCGGAAGGTCAAGGGTTCAAATACCGATGAGGTCATTGGATTTTTTCAGTTGACATAATCCTTCCAGCCGCACTATGACCCTGGGGTCGACTCAGCCTCTAACAGAAATGAGTACCAGGAATATTCTTTGGGGTAAAGGGTGGCCAGCGAGTAGGGCTGACAACCTTGCCGCCATCTATGAGGCGATTGGTTAGAAAATGTGGAAAGATCAATCTCATAACCCTATGGGCCTTCACGGTCTGTTACAGGGATACCTTTACTTACTTTATCTTTCCATATTGATTTAATTGCTCTTTCACTCTTGGTCACATACTTCGTTACCCAGTATTTCGTTCTCTCTTTCTCTTTCTAACATTAAGTAGTCATATAAATTTACTTGTTTCTATGTCATCCTATGTCTTCTGTAAGGACAGCAACAATACTGACCTGGAGGTAAAGGATAAGCACTGAAGAAATGTTATGTTTATATCGCTTTCTACAACAAACATAATTCCTATAAGTCTCTTGTAAACACATCTTGAAAATAATGTCCTCTCTTAAAAATGCTGTAATGCACATATTTCAGTTCAGAGTCATAAATAGTTGACAACTGCGTGATAAGACACATGTCAATGAACCACAGCAGCTCGCTCGTCATCAAGAGATCAGTATTCAAGTTCACTTAAATCAAGGATCTATAGTTTCTTTCAAGTGGCCATGACTCCTGATTATGCAGATTTATACATGAAGTACTTATGCTTAGTGTACCCATTATTTTACTCCCAACAGAATAATATAGGGTGATTAGAAAGGAAAGCACGTGACTTGCGAGACATAAAATAACTACAGGCTTAAAAATTCTTGTTACACAATGTCACTTGGAAGATGAAGTAATAGCTAAGAAAATTTATCGGTTTAATGATGTCACTAGTTCCTGACCCCGTGACTAATAATAATGGTTTTTCGATTATATAATTGGATTAATTAACGCCTTCTTTTACAATCACTCTTAATCACAGCTCACAATAAATGACTGCCTAAGACTCGCTCCATTCTAGTTCACATTTTCTCTTGAAGAGCTCGACTCAACTGCTAACTCTCAACTTACTCCTGAAGTGTCGATTATATTCAAGATGACGCCTAGGCACGAATCCAACGGAAGACGCTTTCTTCTGTTGTCAACAATGCGTCTTTATTGGCCTGTTAACTAGCAATGGATTAATGCGAACCACATAGAAAACTCCTCTTATGACACTGGTTCCATTTTTGCGTGAGCATAATTCGGGCTTTGCCTAGATATGGATCTACATGTCACAATAATTTTACACTCTCGTGTTTACTCTCCAAACATTTTGCATTGTTATTAATTTTAACGTAAATTGAGTATGGACGAATTTGATTTCGAGCAATTAACTCTCTCGCACTTTGCAGGCAAGACACTTAAGTTCCAGTCATAAATCGTTCGTCCACTTAGCATACTTCTCTCGCACGTGGCAGCGAAGTATGGGTCATATGATATCTCCTTGGTCTTCACTGGCCTCATTCAGCTGATGCCCCAGGCACTCCTTTCCGTCGCTTTCGTATTGAAGTGAACTGGATCGTCCGGTCCTGAAGATTTTCATGCAGGAGGGAATTGAGTTCTTTCAGTGAGGAATGTTCATCTTGTAATAGAATTCAATGTAAAGGTGTAACATATTTCATAAGCTGCTAGACCTTCAGTTGAAGCATGCAAATTATATTCAATTACAATCCATGCGATACATAAAAAAACCCATTGGGTTTAATCCGCAAGCGAACTATACCGACCGAGCGACCGCTGCTTGTCGGCGAAGTTAATGCCAACTTTTGCGGATAGAGGGTATCGCGTGGTCAGCGCAACGGATCCCCACAGCCGTTAATATCGATTTTCTAGACCGGATCCGCTATTTCTTTGAAATAGCTCCTCAGTTAGACTCACGAGGCTGAGTGGACCCCGCTGCAGACCCACTACATCTCAGAAAATCTAATTGCGCCAGGAATCGAACCCGGACCTATGGATCTGTAGCCAGGAACTCTAAACCACAGAGGCGGTCATACGATACATCTACTTTCAAAAATATTTTGTGTGCTGAATATATTTTAAATCGTATTTAATTTCGAGTTAAAGAAATTCATTTAAAAAAGGAAACTTGGTTAGACCCAAACAAATAACAACCTTTTCATTTCTTACGTCCAAACATAATCATAAAATTTCGCATTTATAAATAGATAGGCTTACATTTTGTCACAGACGAAAGCTTCATAGTGAACTCGAGATCATGTTTATTTTATTTCTTTAAGTAAAATTCAATATTTCCATGTGCAATAGACAATAAAATGGCAAAATCGAAAGAAAATACACATATTTTACAGATGCCATGTTTCTTATTTTATAGTAGTGCAGCAGGGGAAGCAACGAAAGTTGGAAATTTAACGACGTTCTATTAACTATACATTTTATTTTGTGTTCAGCTTGGGAGGCGGTGTGCCTTAGACAGCAGGTCTATTGTAACTCTGTACAGACTCGATCTTGTTTCAATTCTAGGCAGGGACAAGAATTTTCGTCGCCTCAGCCACGTCCAAACCGACTCTGGGACCCCACCCAGGTTGCTATCGAGCATGACATAAATATGCCGGATAATTAAACCGATCATTCACGCCCGTACAGTGACGAGATCATGAACACGTGAAGCTATTTCACAGGGTGGTAAATAAGTAAGCACACTGACACATGACGCACTGATTCTGGAAGCTCCGAATCATACTGCATCTCTTGGCATTCCACCTGAACGGTTTTAATAGACTTGACGGCATACTGGCCAATATTCAGACTCGAATAAACTCAGCAGCTGTTTAATTTACAAACCTCATTAGATCGTCACGCAATATTCAGGATTCTAGGCAAATCTGCCAGCATTTGTTTCAGTACAGTTGTTCCTAAATTGCAATTTTTTAATTTATGTTCGCCCGTCGCAAGGCCGCTACCTGCACACAGGAGAGCACAAACACCCATGCCTCAAGTGGGATTCGAACCCACGATATAAGTGTTTGAGGGGGCGAAGAAATTTCATGCCTCAGACAGCACGGCCACTGTGATCGGCCTGCCATAGACCTACAGCATTTTAATAATTTCGGCGATCTTCGTCTTTTGACCTGCTTACGATTATTGACTCTATGGATATAAGTCCTTCTTAAGAATCTAATAGTTGCTTAGCTATACAAGAAATACCTAGCATATTCTGGAATGTGAAAATTCATTATCATATTCACAAGAGCCTGCCCTTAGTCCCTATACTTAGCCAGACAAATTCAGTCCTCAGCCTCCAAAATTATACATTTAAAATCTTTTTTAATGTTAATCACTCATCTACGGCTAGGTCTTCCTAATGGCCTTATTCCTTTGGGTTTTCCTGCAAAAAGTACGTACTTTCTATGCAAGGCTCCCAGTGCGTGCTACAATCTTTCCCTAACTTATCTTCGTCTATTCGTTTATTCGGATAATATATTTGAGGAGTACAAATTATGAAGCACCTTATCATTCAGTTTTATTCAAACTCCTGTTACTTCGTCCATCTTAGGTCCAAACACTCTTCTGAACACCCTGTTCTGATGCATCACAATTTTATGTATTTCTCTTAATAGATCCGTAAGTTTTAATTTCTTACTGTTATGGAAATGTATGACTTCTGATTTTGCATTCACTTCATTGATTAAATACGATAATACTATGCGGTTACTACTGATCATCTGTTTCAGACAGGCTTGTGTATTGCTGATATTCAACTCTTCTTTCCAGCTATCTAATATTTGGTTTCTCTGAGACGCGGAAGACTAGGCGAAACGAATTAGTCACGACACACTTAAATCCTTTTCGCTCACCCAGCACAGCAGTGCTATCTTCAAGTGCAAGGTGTACCACTTCACTAGCAATCACTCTCGCTGTCTACAAGAAAGTGGAAGCCGTGGCAGAAAAATAAATCACACTTCAACAATATTGACAGAAACCGCGTGCAGGACCTGAGGATTTTACAGATGAGGTCATGCAGAGTTCTTTCTTTTTGGGGTATAATGCCGTGTAGTCTGCTTAGAGTCAACTGACGTTTCGGAGTAATATATCGCCTTCCACTTCATGATCGAAGATAAATCAAGCAGAAAACAAGCGTGAAACAGCTTGTTTTTCTGCTTGCTATACGCTTCGTTCTAGTTACTTTGAATATTCTTTGATTCTCAGCATGGAAGCGAAATTTCTCACAAAAACATCGGTTGAATTTCAACTGCCTACAATATTAACGTTACAATATTAAGTCCCAGAAGAAATAAATTTTGAAAAATACCTAAAGAAGATTTCATGCATTGCGTTCCTTTAGTTCCAAGTCATGAATTTCATTGAATAGAATCACACAGTTCAGGGTGTCACAATCTTAATTCATCTTAATCTGATTTGACGTTACTTTATTTGAATTGCGGACAGAGATCTCATAATCTTTTCTGATCCTTTTCGTGATTTACCCTACTTTCTCAAAGAAAATATATAGATAACTCTATATTCACTGCTATGAAATGACCGCGAGATAGGCTAATAAGCAACGACTTTATACAACCCGTTTCTAAACAGATGATCGGTAAACACGTTCCCTCGGCAACCAATACTCACGCAACAATAGGGTAACTGTTT